TATATATATATATATATATATATATATATATATATATATATATATATATATATATATATATATATATATATATATATATATATATATATATATATATATATATATATATATATATATATATATATATATATATATATATATATATATATATATATATATATATATATATATATATATATATATATATATATATATATATATATATATATATATATATATATATATATATATATATATATATATATATATATATATATATATTATAATTAAATAAAATATAAATAGTATATCATAATTGTGGTGGCTTGAGAAAATCATAACTTTGCACCAGACTGTCATACAGACTTCAGGGGTCTGTTCTTCGTACGTGGATTACTCTGTTAGCTGGATTTGGATATTGACGATTTGACATGATCCAGGATCGTTTCATTCTTCAAAGCTGATCCGAGAGTTGTTGACATAGCAACAGTTCTGCTAGCTTAAACCTGATCGGGAGCAGGTTCAATTCATATAAACAGGATTAGATCGGCTCAGTTCAAGCAAAGATAATACAGAAAGTATGTACCGAATTCTGATATTTTCTTACAGTAGTAGTTATATACACTAGGGAAAATGGTACATATTTGTTAACTATGTATAAAAAGTTATAGTCATTAATAAAATAAATAAAGTTATACATATTAATAAAAGTTATGCAATCTGCACCCTCAAAATGAAAGTACAAAGACTGCCACCTGTTGGTGCAAAGAGAAAACTTATTGATAAGAACTTTTTAGATCGCTTTAGTACAAATTGTGTATAATAGAAATGCACAATATGTGACTTTTTTTTTTAAAGCAATCATACATTTATGCAGTCATAAACATGTTTTGATAGTTAATATGCCGGTGATTTGATGCTTCACAAAAGTTGCAGACGCCTTTATGAAAACGCTTTTGTAAATATCCAGTTATTCTTTACAACGATTAAAAAAACAGCTACTATAATAAAGAAAATATTTTCTAAATGTAGAACTAAATACACTGATATGCACTGAAATACATGATGAATACTCTTGACACATGAAAGTGTAAAGCCGATCAGTTCATCCAGACATTCTAATCTGATTCGCGTACTTGTTTGAAGAACCAAATTAGCGAGAGATCAGTTATCAAGATTAAAAGATCCAGGATCTGCCAAATCATCTTAGATCATTTAAACGAGGTACAAAGAACGGACCCCAGCTTACGCTCATTTAACTTAGACTACCAGTCTGCTAAACACTGATGACCTTTCAACTTACTAGCCACAACCTAGCATCCACCAAATTGGCTCTGTCACTGTCTCTTCACTCCACCAATAGCTGGTGTGTGGTGAGCGCTCTGGCGCAGTTGTCCTGTGGCTGCCTTCGCATCATCCAAGTGGATGCTGCACACTGGTGGTGGCGTGGAGAGACCCTCCTCATAACCGTGAAGCGCTTTGGGTGTATGGTCATACACAATAAATGTGCTACATAAATACACTTTACATTACACTTACGGCACACTAGCAGCTGTCCTATTGAATTCCATTGTAAAAAAAAAAACTGCCATTGACTTTACATTGGACAGACTAACAACACACAACTCCATACTGACAATACACTGCTCCATACCAGAAACATACTAATGACATAGCAAACATGCTAATTCATACTAACAATATACTAATCCATACTGGAAACTTACCAACAAACATCCTAATCATACTAGCAAACATGCTAATTCATACTAAATAAACGGCATGCTAGTTTATACTAGAAACTTGTGCTAGTGACATGCTAATTAATATTCAATACTAACAACATGCTAATTTATGCTAGAAACATGGTAATTTATGTTAGAAACTGCCTATCAACCACCCAGAACACCTAATTAGCAACTGCCTAGCAACACCTTAGTAACCACCTAGAACACCCTAGCAACCACCAAGAACACCTAAGCAATGGTCTAGCAACGCCTTAGCAATGACTTGGAACATCCTAGCAACGCCTTAGTAGCCACTCAGAACACCCTAGCAACACTTTACAACCGCCTAGCAACCACTCTGAACCTTAGCAACTGCCTAGCAATGCCTTAGCAACAACTCAGAAAACCAAAGTAACTGCCTAGCAACATCTCATCAACCACTCAAAAGACCCTAGCCATGAACTAGAGAACACTCAAAATACCTAGCAACCACCTAGCAACACCTTAGCAATGACCTAGAACCTGAATGATCTTTCTCTCACCCTGTGTGTGTGTGTGTGTGTGTGTGTGTGTGTGTGTGTGTGTGTGTGTGTGTGTGTGTGTGTGTGTGTGTGTGTGTGTGTGTGTGTGTGTGTGTGTGTGTGTGTGTGTGTGTGTGTGTGTGTGTGTGTGTGTGTGTGTGTGTGTTGTTCAGGTGTGGAGCGGTTCTGCAGTTTTACTCAGTCAGATCCCTGTTATGCAGCTCTGGGACACAAACTCAATCTGCTGATGGTGGACGCCAGTAAATATACCCGGACCATAAAAAAGATAATAAACAACACAGAAGTTGCAGCTTGTAAAGTAAGAAATGACACAATGAGAGCAAATGATTGTGATCTTTACATAAACAGACCTGAAGTGAGAATCATTAATGGGACTGTGATGATAAACTCTGTGAAGAGAGAAGATTCAGGAGATTACAAATTAGTTTTCGATAATTCTGGTGGCACAGAAATATCTCAATATCTTCAGGTGAATGTTGAAGGTCAGTAAATCTCTCATCAGACTCATTATTACAATCTCATGTTCTCTAAAGATCTCCCACTCCTGCAGATCAGTGTTAAATATATGAAGAGATCTGCTCACTGAACTAATCACTGAATCACTACAGCACTGACAATAAATCTAGATCATCTACAATATTTCATGCACCAAAGCAGTTTTCAGACTGAAATATGAGCATGTCTCCTAATGCACATTACCAGCTGTTTAAAAAACCTGCAATTTCCTGCAGTGTTGTCTCATGATTAACCTGTGCAGCATGTTTAATTCTCTGACATTTTCATCTTTTAAATAGATTTAGTCTAGAAATGTCTCTGATTCCAGACTCTGATTAGATGATGAGTGAAGAAAGTATCTGTCGTGTGTCCCGCCCTCCAGCTCCTGTTGGCTCAGTGAAAGTGTCAATCATCTGCTCCTCCAATCAGATGAGGTCAGTGTCCTGCTCCTCTGAGGGGGATCAGCTCCTCTACAGCTGGACTCTCAATGGAGAAACACAGACAGATGGAAACTCCACCATTCAGCTTCAAGAGGAAACTAAAGGAGAAATCACCTGCACTGTGAAGAACCACGTCAGCCAAGGAAACACGACTGTTAGCATTAAAGACTGTCCTGGTGAGCTTTTAATAACTAAATATTCACATACTTGCTGAACAACAGCAACAGCAACAAGACTGATGCAAATGAGTGAATTACACAAAACCTCTCAAGAACATATCAGATAATGTGTTACCCCAAAAATAAAATAGATCATATTTAGCACAATCAGGAATAAACTTTTTCCCCAAAGTTTTTAAAAACCCTCTTTATTTTTTTTTTTTTACAGTAAATGCAAGATTTTTTTTACAAGATTTAAAACAGGGGTTCCCAAACTTTTCAACCCGTGACACCCCAAATAAACAATGGCAGTGACTCGTGACCCCCAATTTTGAGGGTGGTATTTATGAATTAATAAACCTTGTGCATAACGGCACACACATACTAATAGGTCCAAATCTATTTATCATTTAATTTTGGAGAACGCCACTCGGAGACCATCCTCCATGGCCTCTATTTAGTTTTAATGTATGTACAAGTCAGAATTATTAGCCCCCCTTTGAATTGTTTTTTCTTTTTTTAAATATTTCCCAAATTATGTTTAACAGAGCAAGGAAATTTTCACAGTATGTCTGATAATATTTTTTCTTCTGGAGAAAGTTTTATTTGTTTTATTTGAGCTAGAACAAAAGCAGTTTTACATTTTTTTAAAAACATTTTAAGGTCAAAATTATTTGCGCCTTTAAGCTATATAATTTTTTTATATATTACTTCTCAAGTCTACAGAACAAATCATCATTATACAATAACTTGCCCAATTACCCTAACCTGCCTAGTTAACCTAATTAACCTAGTTAAGCCTTTAAATGTCACTTTAAGCTGTATAGAAGTGTCTTGAAGAATATCTAGTCAAATATTATTTACTTTCATCATGGCAAAGATAAAATAAATCAGTTATTAGAAATGAGTTATTAAAACTATTATGATTAGAAATGTGTTGAAGAAATCTGCTCTCCGTTAAACAGAAATTGGGGAAAAAAATAAACAGGGGTGCTGATAATTCAGGGGGGCTAATAATTCTGACTTCAACTGTAAGTGCGGTAAAAGTGTCGAAAGTTTAACCTGGTGCCATAAAATCAATCTGCTTCATCTGACAATATAGCTGTGTCTTTAATATAATGTAATCACCTCAGCGGACGCAAAAAATCTAAAGGCTGATGGCTTTTTATTTGCATGTTGTTTTTTAATGTTTCCTATTAGCTTGTTAACAGTGTTACTATTAACTACTATTTTGTTCTTCAATAGGTTATGGATAAAATATGGTCATTCTAATAGTTTAATAAAATTATATTGATTTTTGGAAATCGGCAAGCGACCCCTCCTCATTGTCCCGTGAATGCCACTTTGGGAACCACTGATTTTAAACACTTCAAACTTATTACTGCAATTGCATAAAATATTCATGCTTGGAAAGTGTAATATTATATTTGATCACACTTCATTTTGATGGTCTGTTTGTTGAATTTAAGTTACATTGCATCTACATGCCAACTAACTCTCATTAGATTATAAGTAGACTGTTAGGTTGGGGTTGGGGTTAGTGTAAATTGATATGTACTTGCAAAGTTTCTTATAGTCAGTTAAATGTCTGTTGAAGGAGCAGCATCAGCAGATACTCAATATGGACCATCAAAATAAAGTGTTATCTAATATTATGAAATAAAAATAAAATTTTTACGGCTTTTCTGCTGTTACCAGTTTGTCCAGTGGCTCACCACGTACATCAGAGTATTTGAGACACAGATAAGAGTTGACCGCGATGACAGGGTTCGAGTAAGGTGAAGAGCGGTTCCAAAAAAAAAGGTAAAACAAAAGGGAAAAATTTAAATATACAAGTAGATAACAGGGTGAGAATGTGGTAAGATCTGAAAACGTGGTAAATATCAGGCGAGAACTTTTCAATTTCTGGATTGCTTTTCAAAACACTGTTGTCTGGGTTTAGGGAAGGGGGTGGGTGGGCGTATCGCTCGATTGGTCAGTTGACAGTGGCCTCTGATAGATTTATATAAGAACAGCAGGCCTGAATGGCACTTACAAGAGAAATTTGAGATATGAAAAAGCGTACACAGCAGCCTCTGGTGGATTTATGAAAAGAAAAACTGCGATAAAACGTTTGTCCTTGGACATATTTGGTGTTCTCCAGAAATGTCAACCCCAGGCTCCTTCTGAAAACGTAGTCCCGTGGACGTTTCTGGAGACCACGAAATACGTCCCGGGAGGTATGTATTTTTGCAGTTTTTGTTTAAGCGAATCCACGAGAGGCCGCTGTGTGCGCTTTTTCAGATCGCAAATTTTTCTCTTGAGTGCCGTTCGCGCCCGCTGTTCTCACGTAAACCCACTAGAGGCCACTGTTGACTGACCGTCTGTCTGCCTGACTGAATGACTGACTGGCTCACCCACCAATCGACTGACCCACCCTCCACCTTTCCTAAAGCCAACCAATTTTATTGATTGACCCGCCCACCCACTTACTTCCCTAAACCCAACCAACGATTTACAAAAGTCGTCCAGAAAAAGAAAAGCCCTCGTCTGATTTTTACCACGTTTTCAGATTTTACCACATCCTCACTTTGTTATTTACCTGTCATTTTATTTTTTGGATTCTGTTTTTGTCTTACCTGATTTCTGGAACCACTTATCTCTGGACTTGAACCTCGTCATCTTTGTGGTCAACTCTCTGCGTTTCAAGTCTGCCGACGTACAGGACGAGCTAACTGGACAAACTGGTTACAGAGCTGTCCACACGGAGGTAAGCGGTCAGTTGGTAATCGCAAAAAAGAAAGGACGTCATACCGCCCCATAACGTTCATTTAAAAAATGAAATGCAGCCATACGTACCTACGGATGCATAATTTGCAATCTCCAGAAACGTCCATGGGAATACGTTTTCAGAATGCGCCTGTTGTTAGAAATGTATAAAGGTGTAGGTTTTCAGAATGTGCCTATGTTGGACGAGAACAAAAAGAAGACTGATAAGTTTAATAATATGTGCATGTTCATGTAATATGCTCATGATATCATTTTAAATCAACATTTATAACATATTATACAGTTAGCAACTATTCTGGTTCAGGAAAACGGACTATATTTATTATCTTTTTGCTTTTTTAATTTTCCTTGTCTGAAATTACTTTCGTTGATTTTTCATAATGCAAAATGCTGCAATATTACATATGGTTTTGTTATTTATTTTGAGGTGAAATGAAATTTGGACATGTACCTAACAGGCATCCCTCAACAGTCCTCATAATTGGCCACATCATTTAGGAAAATCATAATTTTAGCATTAATTTGTTGGCATGTTTTTGGTTAATTGGTTCAGAGAGAGAGAGAAAACATGCAGATAAATCAGTGGTGATTTTTTATTACAGGATCAACTACTGATGCTGTGACCTCTAGTTTGACCACAAAGACATCTGAAAATGGTACGAGTCTCTCAACAGAAAAAACTACTCAAAATTACAGCTCTGGAAGTCTTTTTACACGTGAGTGCCGAGCTTCAGCAAGTACTGCAAAGCATAAATACAACTTTTAATACCTATGAGAGGGGGCGTCACAGTGGCACAATGGGTAGCACAATCCCCTCGCAGCAAGAAGGTCACTGGTTCAAGCCTCGGCTGGGTCAGTTGGCATTTCTGTGTGGAGTCTGCATGTTCTCCCCGTGTTGACATGGGTTTTCTCCAGGTGCTCTGGTTTCCCCCACAAGTCCAAAGACATGTGGTATAGGTGAATTGGGTAAGTTAAATTGTCTGCAGTGTGTGTATGTGAATGGGAGTGTATAGGTGTTTCCCAGTGATGGGTTGCAGCTGGAAGGGCATCCACTACGTAAAACATATGCTGGATAAATTGGTGGTTCATTTCACTGTGGCGACCCCAGATTAATAAAGGGACTAAGCCGAAAAGAAAATGAATGAATGATATCATTGAGAAGTTCTGCAGGCTGCTTTGCAATTTTAAAGTGCAATATTTACTTGCATGTTTGCCCTTCAGATCTTGTTGCAGTTGCTTTTGAAATGAATCATAGTTTAGAGGCAGATTTCATTTTAATGACTGATTTAAATATTTTTCTTTCTTTCATAGTTGCACGGTACTTATTAATCGCTATGGGCTGTGTTGCGGTGATCCTGATTCTACTGTTCATCATTGTATACTACGTTTACAGGAAGAAACAACACAAGTCACCAACACCAGGTCAGCTTATTTTAAATCTGTAATAAACTATGAATGTTACAGGCAGAATATGTCATATATTTTTTTATAAAAATATCTAAAAATCAATAGAAGAGTTATATTGTTGACTTATGTGCTTGCATTATCCGAAATGTTTCTTAAATTGTTCAAATTCAGTCAATTGACCCTTCGGCAAGCCCCGCCCTCCTTAGTTACTGTTGCTACGCCTGTCAAGCTTTCGTGCCTGACACAGCTTTTACAATGTGTATGCGCCGGTATCAGACATTGCCAGAGATATAATGCCATTTTTGGCGAACAGGTGAGATATACGAGAAAGCCAGACAAAAAAGGACTGCAGTATGCATTACAGGGGTATATTCACCACATAATAGGCAAGCGATTCGAGAATAATTCAATTAAAATTGAAGCTAGGTTAGCTTAGCCAAGCCGCCTCAAACGCTAACCATTCAACAGCTTAGCTCATGCTCAGCAGGAGAGGCGAAGTTTAAAAACAATTGAATAGTAACTAATTAAACCGTGATTTCTCTATTTTTAGCCAAAAAGCCTGATAGACTATTGTTTTGCAGTGAAATATAGTGTTACCAACCGATGAGGAAACACGCAGGGACAGTGCTTCTGCATCATTCATTCATAGATAGAACAGCCAGAAAGGGAAACTGATGGATTTGTAGTTCTAAATTACGTACTGCACCTTTTACATCAAAATTAAAAGTTGCTGTTTTCTTGGCTAATATGCCAAGGAGCTGTCATTCTGGCATAATCGAGGTGCAATACTATTACACAGAGCCTGAAAATAGCATCTTCTGCAGATAAGAAGCGACAACAAAGTTCCTTGATTATTACGCCAGGAAGAGAGTATAGTTCCTCGCCACATTGGCATCGAAAATAGCAACTTTTTATTTTCCATCAGTATTAGTATGTGATGTACCTGCAGAAGATTCAAGATTTACATGTTTTGTAAGTTCTGAATTAAAGTAAAATGGCCAGGCCGATAAATTGAACAGGCTCTTTGAGATGTAAGCAGAACAAATGATTATTTTAATCATTAATGTAGCTGGAAAAATGGTCATCATGTTAGTTGGTGCAAAAACGTTTACATCTGTGTAAAAACCTGAATGCTTGGTGGTTTTTCATTACACTTTAAACTGTGATAAAATATATACACCTGGTTTTATAGACATCTAATCTGTTTAGCAGAAAGAAACTTGAACTAATTCATACAAAAAATAGCAGTGTCTTTGTTTCTAAAGCACATTTATTAAAATAAAATATATACAAATGTCCTATTGAAATTATGTCTGGTTGACTTAATCCTGGCTTAGTCGAAGCTTTGTTTTTGAAACCAGACAAGGTATTAACTCAACTTACTGAATAACCAATTAGTTAAATGTAACACACACAAAAAAAAAAAAAAACATCATAGACTGTGTATAATCTGTTATATATGATCAATAAGTCATGTCAGCATATGTCATACTTTACTTTAAACTATGTTAATTTAAATTAGCCATATTACACTAAATGTTTTTAATTACAAGTTTTAACTTTTGTTTTTAGTCAGTTTATTCAGCCTAATAGAATAACTCATTGTCGTTTATCTGTTGCTAATATCTCATTTGTTTTCTCAGCACCTCCTTCTGGAGACGTGGAGCTCATTTACACTCACATCTCTCATCAAAAAACCAACAAACAAGGTGCAGGAAAGAAAAAAGGTAAGAAACACTAAACTACAGTTCAGAGATCAGAGATCTTCATTTGTAAATGACATGTAAATCGGTATTCAAACTCTCATGAGTAGCAGTTAGTATTGAATAAAGCCCATAATCAGTACCTGTGGTGATCATTGTCATAGTAGTTTATTCTGTTGTTTGTCGTTGAGAAATAGAAATTGTCTCCAAAAGATTAAATTGCAGGTGATGGGTAGAAAAAAACGAACTTTAACATGTAATATACATACTGTAACATTGCACGTCTCTACTTGTAGCTAGGAAGTGGTGTAGGCTCTATATTCAGTCAAGTCATCAATCTGGCAACCTGTGTTTGTATGGAGTTGTCAGAGGAGATGCTGAGTGAAAAAGTGTTTTGAATTAAGACTGCAATACCTAGTTCAACCACTGGGTGTCAATCTTACATACTGCACCTTTAATACCTGACCTGGGGTATTTACATAAAGCGATCTGATTGGCTGACACTCATTTTAGCTTGAAAAGTTGAGAAATTCCCAACTTCTGGGAAGCAGCGCAGACAGATCCACAGTTCAGTTTGGCAATGATTCACGTCACCCATTTCTCAAAGTATGAGTAAAAAGTAGACCTTTCAAAAGTACTCGAGTAGTGAGTATCACACGGGAAAAAGCTGATGCATTTACAAATAATTTGTGGATGTGTGTAAACGTAACATTCTGTAGTGCATTTAGTCATTACCCAGCATGAACACAACATCATACGTCGCTAATATTAGGTAAGATTTAGGTTGTGATGTCAGGTGACCAAAATTTAACATCTAGCTAGTGTCTCATGAGAAAGTTATTTTAACATTCAATGATGACGTCAAATTATGTTGATATTTGGTTGATTTTAACTTAGAAAGTGTTAGAAAGTGACCAAAATCCAACATCGAGCCAACATCTTAATCCAACGTCATATTGACGTCAAATACTGACATTTATTTATCAGGTATGGCAACCAAAATCCAACATCTGATAGACGTCATAGTGGTAACGTCCACACAACTTCAAGCTGTGACATCATTAGACCTTGATATTGGATTGATTGTAGGTTGGACGTTGACGTTGAGTTCTGATGTTGACCCAATTTTCATTTCCAAACAAAATATAACGTCCCCACGACGTTGAGGTACAAGGTCAATCTGACGTCATGTTGACGTCTTGTGCCTGCTGGGTGTTTAAGGCCATTTCAGTCATCCTATAGTAAACATCCGCCATCTTCTCATCAGTGACGTGCATCTAAATAGTCTCTGGGTCAATGTGTGTAAAGATTTTGGACATCTTCTTGTACACTTTTAATGCTTCCAAACTGTTTCCTGCAATTATAAATCACCCAAGTCTTGAGGTAGCTCATTATGATGTGATTTACCTTCTATGTGTGATTTGATTGGACAGGAATAGCAGGAATGATTCTTCTAATGCCCATAGACAGATAAAAATAAAGTAGTGAAGCAGGTTGAAGGAAAGTAATGGAGTAAAAGTACCGATACTGCACTAAAAATGTACTCAAGAGGAAGTAAAAGTTCACATTTATAAAACTACTTAGTAAATGACAATTGTGACGTCAGGTAACCAAAATTCAATGTCTAGTCAGAGTCTAAGGAGAACGTTAGTTTGACATTGAAATGACGTTGATATTTGGTTGATTTTATCTTAGAAAGTGTTGGAAAGTGACCAAAATCCAACGTCGAGCCAACATCTTAAACCAACGTCATATTGACGTCAAATACTGATATTTATTTGTCAGGTACGGCAAACAAAATCCAACATCTGATAGACGTCATAGTGGTAACGTCCATTTAACATCAAGCTGTAACATAATTAGACGTTGATATTGGATTGATTTTAGGTTGGACGTTGAGTTCTGAAGTCAACCCAATTTCAATTTCCAAACAAAATGTAACGTCCCCACGACGTTGAGGTACAAGGTCAATCTGACGTCATGTTGACGTCTTGTGCCTGCTGGGTGTTTAAGGCCATTTCAGTCATCATATAGTAAACATCCGCCATCTTCTCATTAGTTACATGCATCTTAACAGTCTCTGGGTCATTGCGTGTAAAGATTTTGGACATCTTTTTGGACACTTTTAATCCTTCCAAACTGTATGCTGCATCATTATGATGTGATTTACCTTCTATGTGAGATTTGATTGGACAGGAATCACAGGAATGATTCTTCTAATGCCCATAGACAGATAAAAATAAAGTAGTGAAGCAGGTTGAAGGAAAGTAGTGGAGTAAAAGTACTGATACTGCAGTAAAAATGTACTCAAGAGGAAGTAAAAGTTCACATTTATAAAACTACTTAGTAAATTACAATTCCTGAGGAAAACTACTCGATTACAGTAGTTTGAGTATTTGTAATGTGCTACTTTACACCACTGCTCATTACATTGTTCAAGTCAGCTTTAAAATAATACTGAAATAAATCAGTTGTCGTTCTTCACTTGTGGTTGCTGTTTTCTGCAGTGCTAACAGTGTTTACCAGCCGTTTCTCCTTTTCTGTCTGCAGAAGCGTCTCCAGATGATGATGTGGAATATTCTGCGGTCAGAGTTCAGAAAAAGAAGAAGAACAAGCCGGAGGAAGAGGTTCAGTACGGAGAGGTGACGTTCAGCCCTAAACACTCAAACACCCAAAATCAGCAGCAGCAGCAGCAGCAGCCGGCGGAGGAGTGTGTGTACTCAGAGGTACATAGAAGCTAGAAGAGTCTGAGAAACACACACACACACACACACACACACACACACACACTCTCTGCTCAGTCAGATTTACAGTCCACACACATGTGCATTAGGAGCTTGTGTATATTATGATGCTTTATTTCAGTATGTTAATGATATGTGTGGCATGTTATACTGAATACTGATTCATTGGATTTACACTTTTTTTTTTAAGGTAAGGGGTTGCAAACAGGGTGGCACAGTGGTTATCACTGTGGCCTCACAGGAAAAAGGTTGCTGGTTTAGTCCAGGGTGGTCCAGTTGGCGTTTCTGAGTAGAGTTTGCATGTTCCTCCCGTGTTGGCGTGGGTTTCCTCCGGGTGATTCGGTTTCCCCTTCAGTCCAAACACATGCGCTATAGGTGAATTGAATAAACTAATTCATTTGTTGTGTATGAGTGTGTGTGTGTGTGTGTGTGTGTGTTTGTGTGTGTGTGTGTTTGTGTGTGTGTGTGTGAATGAGACTGTATGGGTGTTTCCCAGAACTGGGTTGCAGCTGTAAGGGCATGAGCTGTGTAAAAAAATATACCAGAATAGTTGGTGGTTCATTCTGCTGTGGCGACCCCTGATAAATAAGGGAATAAGCCGAAGGAAAAGGAATAAATGATGGTTGCAAACTATTTATATGGGCTGAATTTAAACAAACTAAATTTAAGCTGAGCATTACTATATTTTGTTTGTTTGTTTAAATTCAGGCCGTATAAATAGTTTGCAATGACTTACCTTTAAAAAAAAGAGTAAATTCAATGAATCATTTTTTTTCAGTGTATGAACATAGAATTGTACAGAGAAATGACATTTTGATAAATACAGAGATGCTATTAGAGTCTGAGAAACGCACACACACACACACACACAAACACACTTCTGCTTGGTCAGATTTACAGTCCACCACACGTTTACTCACAGGTACATAGAAGCTAGAAGAATCTGAGAAACACACGCACACACACACACGCGCACAGTCAGATTTACAGTCCACAAACATGCGCATTGAGAGCATGTGTGAATAATGATGAGGTATTTCCGTATGTTAATGATGATGTTGATGTTGTGTGGCATGTTATGAACATAGAATTGTACATAGAGATGACATTTGTATGCTATTCCCCTGGGCTTTCTTGTCTTAATATTAAATTCAAAAAGATTTGCTGTGTTTGTTGGAAAATAAAAATAGGAAGCATGCTTTAAAGTAGAGTGAAGTTTGATATCATTATTATTATTATTTTGCTGATAAAACACCCTGTATAAGTGCTGGGTTGTTTTCAGTTTTTTGGTTATATATGGACAAGTCTAACTGATGGGTTACATTTTTACAATTAATTTGTAACCCAACAGGTGGGTTTGTCCATTTTAAACCAAATATTGAGTTGAAACTACCCAGCATTTAATAAAATTTGTTTATGATCAAAAATACATTAACCCTGTAAAATATGATTTACTTTGGCGCAACTGTTGGATAAAAAAAAAATCTATTTATCTGTAACCCAGTTGTTGGGTTTGTCAATTTTTGATGCAGAATTGGGTTGAAGCTATCTAAAATGCTG